GCAGAAAAGCATGCTAAGGCTACTTTTGCCCACCCCTCTCCACAGTGTTTAAATCAGTAAATTAATATAGTTAACATCCTATTCCTATACTTCAGATACAAGAAGAGATGACAAATATTAAGACACGTAGAGTCATTCATATGTAAAATTCTTTGGGCTTTCTTTGTAAAGAGAGAAAAAGAAATACAAAGAGCACTCCTAAACTCCCTTCAAAGTGGAGCTGGGAACAGAATCTTGATCTCCTTAGACACATGTGATTATTAAGTCTACCTAACCAATTTCCTTTCGAAAGAACCTGTTAAATCCTCTAATTATTCCTCACTGCTGCTGTAATGCAAAAAAAATAAAAGCAACAGTGTTTTCTTCCCAACCTGCAAGTATTTCATCCTTTCAGAGACTAGAGCTGATCTGCTAGGAATTGTGCCACCTTTGAAAATTTGGCTTTGTAAGTTTAAGACAACTAGTGTGATCTTTAAAACCTCTTCAAGGTAATATCTTGATAATGCCAGTCACTATAAACTCTGATTACCATGTTCAATTGCATGATTGTTCTTGCATTCCAAAGTCATGTAAGGAAATTCCTTTCATAAAAGGTGTAAAATGTTACAGGAACTTCCTTTAAGTGACCTCACCGATTGTTTTTCCTCCCTGTAGTTAGTGACTGCTGTTAGCTTAAGGAAGACAACAGACATCTCAGAGAAGATCACTTTCTGCAAAGACCTGGAGTCACATGCCACTGGCACAGCTTACTAGCTGATACAGAAGAGGAAAAAACTGAGCAGAGTGCAATGTAAGACCAAAGATATTTAATGCTGCCAAGGCCTTTGATCAGTATGGCAAACTACTGTACCATGAAAACAGAATGGCAGGTTTAAACTTATTTCACTCTTGTAGATGAAAAGTGCTTATGTGGATGATAATAATTTATTCACTACATTTTTAAAAAATGAAGCCCTTAATTACAAAAAAAAAACAACCAGCTTTTGGTCCACCATGGGGAAAACCAGCTGTATTTGTACTCTCCATTAAGGAACAGAAAACTGTACTGGGTAAAGAGATTCCTACTGATCACATCCCCAAATCTTAACTATCATCTCCAGTAGGTATAAAATCATATTATATATCATATTTATATGAAAGTGCCGTGCTTATCTTATAGTTAATAGAAACACTACTGTTTTGTTCCATTTACTTTTTAGACTCTCTTATGCTGGCTACTGTACAACACTTCAAATAGTTCATTGCACAGTGTTTCTGCTAAGACCATCTGATGCATTGCCCATCCTGTAAGCCTTATATCAGACAATTAGTCTAGAGTGAAACTAACAGCTCAGTTCACAGTCTATTTACTTAGCACATTATCTACCAGGTGAGGTGCATGCTCATGGGTTGCCATACCTTCGGATTTGCAAGGCAAACTTCACAGAGGTATCCATTTCAGACTGCTGGTGCACGCTGAAACGCAGTCCAGCTAGTATCTTTGGAAAAAAATCACTATGGTTCAGTGGAAGCACAATAAAATACACAATAAAAGCTTCCTAATACTATTACACTACAACATACTTGCTTGAGGCACATGGTCATAAAGAGAACACGCACAGAGAACTGGCAAATGAAACTTGTCCAGTTCACCAAGACTAGAAATGTTAGATTATAGCCAATGCACCACTGCCACAAAATAGAAATGAATGGTTTACATCATTCTCCCTGCCTTGCTTCAGCCACTTTTACGCATAACTGACCATCCCCATATGTTGCAAAAAGTACTGTAGAACAGGGCACACTGTAATTGTTCTAAATTCAGCTACCAAGGTTTGTTCTAAATCAATGCACAATACATCTGTACACTTTAGCTTGATATATTTTGAAAGGCTTTGGAAATAGCATTTATTCATCTATACAAAATGTCTCTTGGAAGAAAAGCACCATCAAAGTGTTTATAATTGTGACTGATTTTCACCTTATTTTCTCAGAAAATAAGACTTATGTCACATCATCTTAACATCTGCCAAGTCCTACTAATACTTTATTAATATTTCCGAATTCAGTTACATTTGGTGGAAAGGTCTCAACTAGGCAAAACTCTCAAACTTCACAAAACTAAGCAGAAGAGAGGAGCACTATTAGGCTTCCATGAGGAGAAAGATGTGTTATGAGCTAGCTCTTTACTACTAAAAATACTAAATACTAAAAAAAAATATGTATCAGATAAATCTTAAGACCAACTCATGAGGGAGCAGAGTTCATTAATTCCACTATTTAATGGACTACTCCTTTTAAGTTGCATTGTAAAACTCACATGGACTCCATTCAGCCTTTAATTTAAGTTGAAACCAGTTACCACTGAGCTAACCAAACATGTGGGCAGCTAAATGTAAGCCAGATCTAATCATAACTTCCTGTGAGTAAACATCTCTCCCAAACACTACTGTGATTAAGAAAAACGCCTACTGCACTCCTGTTTGAGTTACCAGACTCCCGTTGGACCAAACCTTACCTTTGTTCCTGCTTTCATGGGATTTCCCAGGTCACAAACTACCATGCGAGTTTGATTCTCTGTTTTAAATGCACATGACAGTCTTGCTAAAGCCTGCAATACACCAGAAAGAAATGTAAAGCAATATAATTCTTTACATCTGGACACCCGTATGAAAGTCTAGAGAAAAACTCTAAATATGCTGTGTATTAATTTCAACATAACTTCTCAATCCTAACACAGTCAAGCACTAAAATTAAATAAAATCTGAGTACTGAAGTCTCCAGGGAGAGAAATATTTTTGATATGAGATAGATGCTCTCTTCCAAGTTTATAAAAAGAGAAATTCAGTACTCTTATACTGGGTAACACTGATGTTTTTTGTGACCTAAAAAATTTCTCAATGTGCTTCTTTAAAACCTATGTAAAAAAAACTTTGGCAATCAGGCAAGGGTTAAAACTCTTCATAGGAAAATAAAGATTGGAAGGCAAAATAACATGAATACTTACCAGCTTACTCAAAAAGAGGTCTCAAGACGAGCTATCAGATTTTGGATAAAGCCAAATCACAAAGCTCTAGAGTAGCAGAGGCAAACTGGAGAGCCAAATCAAGGCATGGTCCAATATACATGAATGATGTAGTATCAAAGTTGGAATCTTTTGGTATAGGGGGAAAATAGTTTTCCCCTTAACATTGTGCAGTATTGCAGATATATGGATTGATCATAGATTATACTGAATGAAAACAAGGATGAAAAAAATCTGAAATTATATTATTTACATATAGCCATAATGCACCAAAACAAAATTTGGACTATACTCACATCTTCAATAGAAAAAATAGAAGTTATACATTTTATAATATAAGGGAAAGTCAGGAAATAAATTTTAATATTCCATGTAGTCAGTATAACTGTTACCCAAGAATTTCTACAAACTTAGGTGGACGAGAAGAGTAATACCCAACATCACCTTTTGCCTCACAGGTGCCCAGCTCTTTACCTAGCACGTGACATGTTAAGTCTAAATACAAAAAAATTAACAAGGGCACTGTTCAAACAAAGACTTGTAGCAGATAAACTCTGTGTGTCCAGCTCCATCACAGAGATGATTCTTCTTGTTGCTAGCAGTAGGCTTTTAAACTGGAACCAGACAGCCAGGTGGCTTGGAAGAACTTTATCATTTTTTCAGTGCTTTGTTTTAAGATTGAAGCATAAAAACCACCACTGAACGATCGTCTTCTGCAGACTTCCATAGCAGCACCTGAAATATGACTTCCCAAAGATAGTTGGAATTTTACCTCGTTGTTACGAACAACACCAATGAAATCTGCTTGGGGTGGAACAATGACGAAGAGTTCTGCTTCATAGGCTCCTTCCCCTTGATTCTGAACACTGACGATTAGTGTCAAGGGATTGTCATCACCAATATAGATCTGCTTCTGATCACTACAAAAATCAAGTGCAAAGATGAACTCTGCAATCAGGTTTTAAAGTGTGTTGAACTGGTTGAACTTACAGAAACAAGAGACATTCTGAAATTGAACCAAGACATTAGAGAAACCTAGAGGCAGTGCCTATGCTTCAGGAATATCAAGAGAGATCTACACTATGTCAAAACCAAAAAAAGCGTCCACAATCACAAAAATGGAGCAAATATTACATGCTGTTTTGTATCTTCTTATAAAATTTGCAATAAACCACAAAACCACTGACACCTTTTTACAACAAACAATTTTGAACAGCTACATCATTATGTACATTTTGAATTACATGCCTACTTCCCAGAGGTGCAGGCATACATTTATAACAAAACTTGACGGAAGGCTCAACTACAGAATACAGCCAAGACCTCCGTAATAAATCTGTTCCAGATACAAAAAGAGTATCTTTTCAAACAATGTATTTTTGTTTCACCTACAACAAAACCTAATTGTACCTGCACTGATGTAAAAGGTTTCTGAAGCATTTCCATGAGTACATATGCTTGTGTTACCTACATACATGTACATACGCTATAGCTCTGCACTAAGGACATGAAAAACAAATGACATTTAGGAACAGAGATAATACACTAAGGCTGGCTTCCAAGCATACAAAGCACAAAAAGCCCAGACCCGTGAAAGAATTATGAGTTAGAACTTGGGTTGGTTTTTTTGCCAGGTTTAATAAAAGATATTACCAATATCAACAAATTTTTTTCATACATGTCACAACAGAGCCCTTGTGGGATAAAATAATGCCTGTTTGCATCTTCATGTTTGTATCTAGTACTAAATAACAGAACAGTGGTACAATCGCAGCTAACACTGGTTAATGCTTGCTTTGCATATCCAGCTTAGCAAATATACCAATAAATACTGTACACTTAGTGGGGGCTGGGGTGGGGGGAGCTGGTGTGCGCTCTCCCTGCATTAAATGCTAAAGACTCAAGGTTACAAAACAAAAAAATGGGTTTTCCTTAAAACAAGCATAAGTTTAGATTGTATACATTGAGGAATCCTACTTATTTCAATACATCCTTTTAGCAAAAGTATTACAAGCTCTGGAAGTTCAGAATTCAAGCAGGGAAGTTAATTTTCCCTGCATTTTTCTCATGTATTTACCTTTCTACTGAAACCTCCAGCTTTGGTTTGCAGATATTATCATCGCCACAATCCAGCAAAATATGTGCCTATGCAAAAATCAAATGCATATTTTTTAAATTATTCCTGCATCTGTTCTAGCATACATTTTCAGTAATACTGTTTCACTACAAATAACATTTTTCCTAAATAGCTGGTTATGAGAGATCTTAATCTCATTAGTCTCAGAGGAGAATAAATGAGTTTTTATACATGGGAGGCACTGTGCCTAGTACTGCCAAGCTGCAATTCTAGATCTGATGTCTACAGATCTTAATCCTCTTTCCATACTTGGAAAAACCTGTTCACCTTGAGCTATATCTCCTGTATGCTCTTTACAAACAAGTGTAAAAATTTGTATAAAGGGGAGAAAGAGAAAAGCTACATTACCTTAAGAGAACTATAGTGTAAACATAAAATACATAGAGCAGCACTGTAGGAACAAGGGATGAAACACTCCAATCGTTCAAGATTAACACCTTCAATCCTACTTTAACTGCTTTTATCCAAAACACTGTTAATTAGTATGTTGAAAAGGACATCCAGCACTAAGAAATAATGTGTCAAAAAAGAAATTTCACACACAGAGAAGGAAAAAAAAAGAGAAGACAAACATACAATAGCCATCAGCATTTCCATAATACAAAGACTAAAGCCTAGCTGTGTATTTTGGTATCTTAATTTTTCAGGAGTACTAAGATTAACATAAAATATTGAAAGCTGAAAATATGTTCTGAGTTCTCTCATCACAGATTGTATAAGAAGCATACCTGTCTGCTCATATTAGCAGGAGTGAACTGGTTGAGGATAGGGTGCAATCCTGTTGCATCTGCAGCTGTTCTGTAGTCCAGACGATATTCCATAAAAATAGTAATGGGAGTTAGTTTGTCTCTAAATTCAGACTCACCCTGAGGAAACCAGAGATTTGAATTACAATTAAAACATGCGAAGAAAACAACAACAAAAATATCCGTCAAAAGTTTCTACAGGCAACAAGCAGTCATCTGAAGAGCAATACTGAGCAGTGCATTTAATTATTGTTCATGTAGGAATGAGGAAGCCAAAGCAACATTAAAACTTCAGTGCTCTTTTCAAACTAGAAAATCTCTTGTCAGAAAACCTGCAGTGTAAACTTTGAGGATGGACAATTTTGGTAGTAACATGCCAGTTTTACAAATGGAAAACTGGAGCATAGAGAAGTATTAAGTCATCGAACTATAACAGCAAGGAGCCTAAAGGGCTATACAGTTCTACTCTTTCCTGTTAGACAAAATTCAGTATGCTTCTAAGATCTCTCAGAGACAATCATCTTTGGACCTCTGATTTATTTCGTTCCACTTTGCACTGGATTCAGTGACTTTCACATTGTTCATGTCAAATCATTCTGGTTATCAAGGATCCTGCCTTTCGGAGTACTTAAAAAGCATTTATTAGCTTTATGTTAGCCACAGCTGTTATCAGTGTGAACTCTGCTTCATTATTCAGAGAATAATGAGAATTACTGAACCCAGAACAGCTCATAGCAGGATCTTACTTCAGAAGCTATCTTCTATGGGCAGAAACCTATTCTTAACTCTTTTTTAAACCTCAGGAGTTTTCAGCTGGTTTTGTAACCGAAAAATTCTCATCTAAATTTGCATTTTGGTCGCAGGTCCACATTGTCCTCCAAAGCAGAAGCACAAACTCTGCTTACTAACTTGCACGTTCCCTGGAAATCAGAACTAATTTTGTACCCAGCAGATTGTCCAAAAAGTACGAAACAAAGTTCAGAACTGAATTTCCAATCCATTTATTGAGCAGGACCTTAGCCACAATAATATCTATCATTCACTCTCTGACAGCAGTGATAACCCAGGACAGACAGACGGGTTTAGTAATGTTAAGTCTGCCCATTGGACATGACTTTTCTCTGGCTTTTCTCTTTTCTATTTTTTTTTTAAACATGTAACACAAGGAATTTATAACAGACAACGCACCAAGAATTATTTGCTTAAAATGTAAATGGCTACTTACCCTCAAAAAGGCATCAAGTTCTTCACAATTCATTTTGCCCCCATTTGTAATAGTCATGTTCTTAGAGTGGCTAGGCTGTTTGCTGTGGAGAAAGAGAGCTCTCCTTATAGCTCCTTTCTGCTTAAGTTTATCCAGCAACAGCTCCACTTGGAAATCTGTCCAACCAAAAACATTTAGATTAAGAGATATCTCATTCAATTAAACACTGCAGAATCCCATCAGAAATGGAGCTAAAAGCTGATTTCAGCTACAGTGAAAACCTAGTACTTGGAACTTTTAAAACTTCCAGTTCTTTCAATATAAAATCTGCTACTACATTAGTTCTCAATGCAGGAACTAACAAGCACGGTTGTTGTTCAAAATTAGACTCTGCTTTTTCCTTAAAAACTGAAAGCATAGAACACTGATACATTTAAAACTTATAATTGCTACACAACCACTAGAATGTAAGTTCATTTCCACCCCAGACAAATATTTTAAAGCAATCTTGCACATAATTGTGTAGGTGTATTGCTAACATAATTACTTCACATATTTTATATAGATATTGAAATTTAAAATATGTAACAGCTATTTATATGAATCTTCCTAGATCATACCACCTCTATCGATGCCATGCAGAATCAGTATACAATAGCTGTATTGTAGTAGGCAGTCTGCCACACTACAAAAATCTTAGACACAACTTAAAAACCCATTTGAAGCAATCTCTTTCTGCTACTCCAGAGAATCCAATGCAAAAATCCGTTATATCAATCAGAAGGTCATGATTTCAACAGAAATGTGAGAAGTCCCATGTGGCTTGTCTATATTTTTCAGGCATACCAAAGCAAGTACTTGAATATTTTTGTCTCAAAGCTCTCCTCAACAAGAGCTGATCTCAGATCTGTAAAATACAAAGGACTTTCCAAAACTAGCTCCACCAAGTGCTTACATATATGCTTAAAGTCCCAAGTATGCTCAAATCACACTGACTTCAACACAACTTCAGGAAAAAAAGGCCTGCTGAAAAGAGTCATATAGATGTATATTGTTACTGAACTGGTAGGATTGTGCTGTAAAGGGTAGCCAAGTGTTTCAATAATAAAAAAGAACAGTGACCAGTGCTCATGCAGTATGAAATGACTTTAAAGTTCTTAAACTTGCAAAACTTACTGAGTGAGTTAGGGAGCTTTCCTTTGCCATCCGCTTTTAAGCAGAACTTTACTTTGAAACTGTTTTGGACGAAAAGAAAACATTAATTACACACAGCTTTTCTCCGATTTTCTTCTAAAATTCTACAGAGTTGTTTTCAGTTCAAAGGCATTCTCTTTTGAGACTCGCGCACTCCCAAAAGCTATTTTCTACTGGTGAGATAGAAACTATAACATATAGGTAGAGAGCAATGCAAAGCTTTGAAGTCTTGGTTCATACAGGAATAGTAACCTGAGTTTATTCCTGAAATCAAACGTGGCTCTTTCATTTTTCAAGCTAGAAGGAACTGGCATACTGAGTTGAAAAGGAAGGTAGCGCTAAAAATGAGAAGTGGGTTTGGAGCAAGAGCCAAAGCCAGTTTGCAGGGCAGATAATTTCCCAAGTGTCTTCCATAAGCCCACTCTATTTTTCACCTAAAAAGTAAATTAATGAGTAAAAACAATGCAAAAGCATTGCGTAATCATCTCGGGAAGATCTTACTAAACTCTGTACATACAACTGGCAATCTCTGCAGGTACGATTAACTTTGGAGTCAGTTTAGCATCTACTGAAGACAATGTTGGTCCTCCCGCTGCTGTCAAACCATTCTTTTTTGGTATTGTCTGTTCTTTCAGAAAAAGCCTGTGTTTGATCACCTTTTTTTCATTAGCCGACTAGACTTACTGAATCCTTTCAAAATTAAAAGCTCATGAAAGTAAACACCAAAAAGTCCCTCCCCTCAAAGAAAAACAAAGATACCCTGCTTACCAAGAAACTTTTACATCTGACAGTGAACAGGCTTTGTTTTCTGGGTTTAGAATGGTTGGATTAACTTCCAGGGCAGCATTTACTCTAATAACTGGTCTAGCCCTGCAAAGAAAACATTCTATTGAACAGCATTCAACACCATGTTAGACAATACTCTCTTCCTCAAACTGTGAAATATACACATACACATTTAGACAATATTTAGTGAGGCTGCAGGAATAATAAAGAATCACTGAGTATATCAGGGAAATGCAGGATGTTTTTCTGTGCCCCTTTATTACCATCAGAGTCCGAATATAGGAAATTGTGTTAAGACAATGCCCTATCTATTTGTAGCAGACAATTACGGTATTTTCCCAAAATTAGCAAGTTTAGATGAGAATACTGGGATTGCAGTTGTAATAGCTAGCAGCACCCTGTATGTATCTAGAAAACTGTCATAGAATGATAGAACGGTTTGGGTTGGAAGGGACCTTTAAAGATCATCTAGTGCAATCCCCCTGCCACGGGCAGGGACACCTCCCACTAGATCAGGTTCCGCAAAGTCCTGTCAAACCTGTCACTCAGCAAGCCTTGAAAACAGCTTATTTATATTTTCTCTTAGCTACAGATTATTGAAAGATAAGTAATAGATGGCAGACTGTAGATTTACTCAGTGAAAACAGAGTATAACTTTTTTTTTTCCACTCCAGCCGTTTCAGAAGGTGGAATGGCAGAATTTCAGACGTTCCTGATCCTACTTTCTTTTCTAACTCAAGAATGAGCTTTCATTCTGCATGCATTTATGTAAAAGCACAGAGGGATACTGACCTATACAAAACAGCTGTGTCAACACCAAAGGCTCCAACAATCAAGTCTAGGAAGAACGGAGAAATATTACACATTACAACTTATTTTTCAAAATATGCCTTTAGTCACAGGGAGGGCTACTATTAAGTTATTCTAAAGTGACATTTAGAGCAAAGAACCTGGATATCCATTTTTGTCCACATCTGTGGCTCCTTTCAGCGAGTACCCAAAGCTGGGTGGCATAGTATGAGCAGCCCACTGCCCTTCAAGAATTTGAGATGGGACTGCATTCAAACCATTTGCTCTTCCATTGTAGATATAGACAAGTCCTCTCTTGTCCTCTCCACCATACGGTGCGGCAATCGCAATATCTGTAAACCGAAAGAACAATCGTCAACATCTCCAGGCACAGACTAGGAGAACATATTTGTTTTTACATCGATTGATAATTTCCGATATTACAGTTTCAATGTGCGTCAATAGGGAGGAAATGCAACTAGCCTTTGAAATGCCCATCAACAACAACCTTTTTCTTTTAATTGGATGCTGGATTTTCTAGAAAGTATAAATGTTTAACAAGTACATATATCATAGACTTGTAAGGAAAGAGGAGGAAGGAAAGCAATAGTTCCACAAGCACTTCTGCACTTCAGTAACTGACTTACAGCCAAATCATATGGATTTGAGATGCTTTTCAGAGTATTAAACACTCGGAATTAGTCCCTGTTGGCACCGAATCACAAAACTAAGCAGGACTATCTGTCCTTTTCATTAACGCACTCGTGTTCTTCTAAAGCGTGTGACATTTTAATAATTCTGGAAAATTTAAATCAGACTAAAACAATAGTAAATATCAAATTCCAGTCTATCCTCATTGTGGCTTGGCAATGTTTTATGGAAAGCTTTCAGTTAGTGCAATTATACTCTCTCACAAGCTTTAGAAATTTAAGAGTAGTCACTAACAATGATTAATAAACAGTAACAGACAAAATACTAAATGGACTATCCGTAAGGACAGCTTTAGAAGTGTACATGTAATCTGAATTCAACATTTCCACCGTCAGTTCAAAGACCAAACATGAAAACGTTTAAATGCTAAACACCATACAGAGTAATTACATTATTCTCTCCTCTTTCCTTAAATTTGAGAAATTTTCACAAAAAACAAGGACTCAAAAGTTCACCATTTTCTATTTTTGACTGATCTCTACAAACTTTATGAAAACAGTAGAAGTTCCAATCTTGCACCATACTGTGATGGAAAGCATTTTAATTAATACTGTCAAAATGAAACAGAGCAGAGTAAATGAAAGACTAAAAAACCCAGACTAAATAATATCAAAGTAATTACAGGGAGGCAGCTTTTGCTATCATTTTGTCACATACAGTGTATTTCAGACTGAAATGTGGTGGAATCAAAACACTGTTTGGATAATCTCATCAAGTGACCGGATTTTTTTGCTATCAGCTGTAACCTTACAAATGTCTTCTGTAAATAATTACAGTGATATTGCATCTTCACACTAATTCTGTATGCTATTAGCAATTAAAATCTAAACATTAACCTCATCAAAACCAATACCATAAAATATTTTGAGTTACAAAATACACATCCTGTTCAAGCTGGTACATTACAAAAAGAGACTCTGAAGTTAACATACTTATAATTGGCTTAAAAATCAAGTTTGATCCATCAATGGACAAAATCACTTAGCCACTTAATATAACTTAATGGGTAAGTTGCCGGAACAAATTATACTGCTTTCTACGTCTCTTCTCCATTTTGTACAAGGTTTAAAATTTTAGATACAGAATGCGAACTTTCCAAGACAATTAAAGAAAGCTGAGTATTAGGGAAAATGCCAACAATTTCATTTAAAAATTTATTAGAGCTACCTGGAAATTTAAAATATTAGCCTATTACTATTTTGGATCTTTCAGACAATACTTCGCTTACAAGCGGAATGGAGAAAACAAAAATGAGCATTTTTTGTAGAACTCAAATTCCTACCACTCTTCGAGAAGAAGACTGCATGACTTGCAAAATACAGTGTTCTCCCTAGGATTTCAGGAAGCCTCTGTCCCAAAACTATCCGATTCTTGTCTGCTTCACTGCTCTCTATTCCTAAGTGAAAGTAACAAGAAGCACTGGCAAACGGTTTGAGAGTCCACAGCCTCAGTTCTGTCAGACTCAGACTTCTCATCCAAATACTTGCTCAAGACACCCGGCTCTTGGTACAGTTGGCTGTAGCTGTTATGGGGTATTTCCACCAGACTCTTCCACTTTGAAATAAAAAATATCTATACTTTTCTCAGGAAAATCTCTTTTATCAGAACATTTTTAACCAGCTCTCTGAAACGGAACCTTTCAGTCATCATTGTGTTTCTGGAGAGGAAAATCGGCTTTAAGCAAGGGAAACAGGAAAATTATATTGAAGGTGCCCTAACAAGTCACAGTGGAGACCCAGATATTTCATCAAAGTTTCTACTGCACTCATCACTTAAAAAGTAATAAACTGATCAGTGTAACAGCTAAAATAATCCATGCTGTAGTTTAAATGGTATAGTCTCTGCTCGATGCATACATGTAACTCCTCTTAGCATTCTTGGGAGTAGCATACAAGCATCGAAAGGAGTCTAGACCTTAGTGTCCAACATTCAGTCATGGTTAGAATGACTAATGTTTCTGTGCAGAATCCACATTCAGTGTGCTGTCTAGTTTTCAACTATGAACTGAAAATATTGATCAATAAATAACATCCTACCATTGAAGCCATCCTGATCTAGATCCCCCAGAGGTGCAAAAGAACTGCTGAATCTTGCAAATATCTCAAAGCCATTCAGTTTTGTGATCTGAAACCCTCCAGAGGGTCGTTGAAGGCAAATGGAAACTTGGCCGACCTCTTGAAGTTTCCCATCAGAACCTCGATCCATAAAAAGAGGGGCTCCAATAAACAAATCTGTGTAACTGAACCACATAAAGATAATGTTCTTCAATAACAGCATGAAAATTCAGTTTCATTCCCATAAACACCTGTTAGCAGGACTAAATCAGCACTGAAGTCAATATTAAGATGAAAGTTATCTATCCTTTACTTGCAACTGAAGGCAAATATTTACTGACAAAGCACAAATATGCCAGAATTTAATTCATTTAAAGCATGTGCACACACACACTTGTATTTATTTACATAAATACAAGAACGAGTCTACAATTGATAAAAGAAATGTTGATTGCAAGTGAGAAAGCGTGCTGTCCAGATGCACGTTAAACCAGTAATGAAGACAGAAATCTATATTGTAAGAAAGGCTTTTTAATAAAGGCCTCTTTTTTGTTCTTTCCAGAAACACTTACTTGTCCCCATTGATATCTGTGGCAGCCACCGAATACCCAAAATAGGCAGCCATCTGGAAAAGAAAATTCAAAACAAAGGTGTAAGTTGTACTGATATAAACACACAAACAAATATATACAAAGCTGTATAGAAAAGATGTTAGGGAGATAAAAAACTTTTTTGTCTCCTTTCTCCTTAAAATTTTCCTCTCTCTTCCTTACTCTGTTAGAAAGTAAACTGATCAGTTACTTTCTCCATTCCTCCTTTCATGACGCAGACATCTTTCCCAGTTCTCAAAATAGGCAGGATTTCCTTCATTTAAATAAGATCGTTTTTCTAAGTAGTACTACAAAATGAACAGAACTTATTTCTAGGATGCCTACAGACTTTTTCTTTGGCACATAAGATAATAGCATCAAAAATATTATATGTTCCAGTACCCTAAATACTGTCTCAAAATGTCATCTTTCTATAGGAACAGAAAGGTCCTGGTCAACCACCAAACCGAATAAAGCTACATACCTGCTCTCCAGTGAAGTTGTACATGGAAGACATGTTTTTCCCATTGTAAATAGACACCTGCACATGAAAAAACAGCCATTGGAGCACACCAATGATATTAATCTTTTTTGTTTATTGTAAAGTTTAAAGTTTCACATTTCCTACCATGCCCAGAGTTCTTGCTGCTCTTGGGACTCCTGACACAAAGTCTGAAATATAAAGCAAGACACCATTCACGTCTCAAAGCACGACGACTTTGCTCGAGCAGAGCAGTCCATTCCTAGTGCTTTATACATTTTCCTGTGCACTGCATTGTTCGTTATATACCATTTATTTGAAAGACCTACCCAGCATATTAACATAACCTTTTTATTGAAGCAAGGTTCTTACCTTCTATGCCATCACCACTGAAGTCTCCAACAGCCACTGAATAGCCTGATCAACAGATAAAATTAGTAAGTTACTTTAAAAACCTTATTAAATGTTCCATCTCTCTTTACAATCTTCGCAGGTTTTTGTGCCCAATCCTGTAAATTCATTTTAAAACACAATGGAATAAGTGTTTCTTCTAAGTAGCTTAGACTACAATTAGCTACATAAGTAGACTGTAATTCATCAGCATCCATGAATTTGAGATCAGAAGATGAAAATTTTAAAATTATCGTCCTGGAAATTGTCCTGGTCTACCCTTTCTTTTTTCCTAAACACAGTTAAGACACATATGAAGCTAAATTATTTTTTCTTACTCCTCTAAATCAGTCTCTTCATTAATTTTCTTCCTAAACATGTTTCTTTCACATTTTGATTTTGTTTTGGTAATTATTTAGGAATGGCTGCTTTTCTGAAAATTTAGGTATGTGACTAACTTCTCCCATAAAAATCATACTCAATGATGTATATTCAGCCTGAATCATAGAGCACAAAAATTTACGGAAGTATTTCCATCTAGTTTGTTATCAGGTGCTTTTTAATCAAGCCTACGACAAGATAACTAAGCCGTCATCACACACAAATTACTGCATTTTCAGACATGCAGCTCTTTAGTTACTTCTCAAATACTAAATTAGCAGTAGTGCTATTTATACTTAAACATGAGTAGCACAAGGCAATCATCCAAGTACAGACAGGTTTTGTTCTTTTTCAAACTACGCACCCAAGTAGCTGTCATCAAAAGCAGCACTGGCAGGTCTGGTTGCCAATTGGTCATCATACTTCGTACTGTAGACTTTGGGGTTGTATTTAGCCACAATCTCTGTCACTCGATCAGAAATAAGTTGGCCTAAATGCAAAGGAAACTCCTTAAAACCACAGAAAAATGTGTGCACTCATTCAATAAGCAACTGCAGTGACCTGAAAACAAGAAACCGACTCAGCAGATGAATGCCAAGTGAAGTTCTTATTTTCTACCTCTACTTTTATAGCTACAGAGAAGGACCCGACTATGCAGCCAATCGGGATGTTCACATACCACAGCACTTTCCCATCCATCATTCCCATACCTTATGGCCAGATGTTCCAAGACCGAGATATCCTGTCACACACCACGAATACCATTCAACCAGTGTTCTGGTCGAGATAACCCAGGCATACAGTGCTTTGTGTAGTTCTGAATTCCTACTTTTAGGCTGGTTCAATGTCCAGTTAGACTTCATAATAACTTAAGTTTAGTCTTTTAAAGATTGTCTTTGTATAAATCCCAGCTGCTATTTATTCTCTTAATAATGTTCTCATGGGAATCTCAGCTTCTGCAGTGCCTTGGCTTGCAGACTGTTGATATTTCTCCGCAAGCAACAGGACTGATATACAGAATGCTTGCTCCTATAGCAAGAACTGTTCCACAATACTGACCAGAAAATGGTCAACAGCAGCAGCACTAGAAAGAAGTGAAAACTTGGATCCTACTTCAGTAAAGACTTACGTACATATTTAATAAAAAGCACACAAAGTTCTCACTCAAAACAGAAGCTGCTCCTACATGTAAGCTAGAACTTAAATTGGACTGCTCAGTGAGTTAACGGTAAACATATGCTTATGGTGTTGCAGAATGAAGTCATCACTCCTTGGCTAAATACCATTAACTTAAGAGCTTAGTACGGCAGACAAGAGGCTAACAAGATAAGCACAGTGTATGACTGTGTTCCCTGTTGTCACTTCGCTACCCGCTAGGTGGTAGCTTCATTACATTCTTCGCTTTGAGTTGAAATTAAATCCTGAATCACAAAAAAGAAATCATTTCAGAAGAACACTTACATCACATACATATGCATACATGTATGAAGTATGGGGAAAACTACTTCTCCAGCATCTGAAAATCTAGTTTTTAGAAGTACACAATTGTCTTCTATTCAGAGCTGAAATTTTTTGTTGTTGTTGTAGTAGAAGAGAATAAGGTTGTTTCAGCAGGTAAGATGTCACTTTTGCCAAAAAAACAATAAAATGAGTACACAAACATAATCTATATTATACTGTATCTAGAGTTCAGTTTCAATCATTCCATTTTGTTCAGAATTTAAAAGACAGGACTGAAAACAAGCCTCCAGTGCTGCTGCATCTGCATATCAGCTAGTGTGATACAGAAAATCTTTCATAAATGTTGATATCTACATTGAAAAATAGGCAGCAGAGATTGGCAGCTGTGTCCTGATTATAGCAGCACCATCTTCTGAACTGAGACCTATAGCTAAACACTGAATGATCCTGTGAACAAATACTGATTGAAGCCTGCATTAGAAAAATATATAGGTCACATTCTGTGTAAACAGCACAGTTAGAGGTAAAACATGCACCATTGCACAAACAGATCAATATAAACAAATGTAGTATCTTTGTCTTCAAAGGAAAACAATGACAGTTCTTTTTGCAGGGTACATTTCTCATTGAAAATACATGCTTCATATGTGTGTCAGAAATTATAAAACATGTAGATTTCGAAACAACAAGCAAAATATCCTAATGGAAACTTACCCTGCTGGTGGGAACAAATTCCACATTCCTAGGAGGATGTCTTTAAAATGATCATAGAATTATTTAAAAGACAAAACACACATCTATACAATTATTACCTCAGCTTTAATTTGTGGTTCCCTTGATTATTCAAGAAATATTTTAAAGGATGAAGAAAAATTTTTTTATGTTAGTTTTCTTACTGACAAAGACTTTGACAGTGGTTGGAAGAGTGTGGATACAAATAGCTAAGAGGAGGAAAAGAAAAACAAAACAAGTCAACTTCTCTGTGACTTAAATGATATATCTCACCTTGCCAGTAAAAACTTCCAGGTCCTCCAAGCAGCACTCTGTCTCCCTTGAAGGTGGGGAGAAAACAAAACAAAACAAAAACAACAAAAAAACCCAAACGCATTATGCATATCTAAAGACAAGAGAACATGTTCTGTGTTTATGAGAAGTAATCCCATGTATGTATATCACTGTAGCTTCACTGACCCCAGTACATTTTATTTTTTGAGGGAATGATTAATTAAAAATGCATCTTGTAAAATGCTAAGATAACAAACAATCTGCCTTCAGTGACTTGCTTCTCCATTTCACCCATTTAAAATTCTAGGCAGAGATCTGCTTTAACTGTAACAGACCCTTCTATCTACGACAACAGAAATACAATTAGGAAAAAACTTTAAGACTGCTACGAGGCAATCGTAACATGCTCTTAGGTCAGTACACAAAACTAACTTCATCTTCTGCCCCTGCCACTTTCTGTAACTTATCTTTAGAAAAGCTTAATTCAGAAAAGCTGTGATGTAACTCCCCCACTCCGTATTCCTTGGTACAACTGCAATTCACAAACCATTTTATGAAACTTTTAACTACATTAGCTATTCCAGTACTGGGAATCTGCTCTGTAAGTACTGAATTGGGCCACAGGCTTTCCTGCATAATTAAGCAACTTATTCAGGTTTTAATCCTTAAAACTCCCATATTCACCACTCAGAAAAATCTAGGTCAGAGATTTGGAGATACTTTAAACTCAGGTTTGCCCACTCAGGTTTTGGATTAAAGCCCAAGGCTGGTTTTAGCTAGGGCTACAGTTTGCACTGTAAGACTGAGGAGTGCATGCAAAACAACAGTTTCCTCTGGAGGGTAAGAATGTCCTTGGGCAAAGAGTGAAAGGATATGACCTTGTCATAAGCTAGAAAGAACCCAAAAAACTGCCGTATCACAATAGGACTTGCATGGCCTTAACATGTCCAGACTATGCTAAGCAATTTAACTGTACAATATAAAAAACTAGTTAGTTCTCAGATATGTGCACAGTTTTATTGTGCTTGGATTTAAAAAGCAATTGTGAATTTAAAAACAAACAAACAAAAAGAACTAAAAAAAGCGAAGGAGAACATAAAAACAGAAGAAACATGAAAGGAAAAAAAAGGAAAAGTCTACTTCTGCTAACTGATAAGGAAAACAAAATGTAACTCACAATAACATTGCTTACCAGTCCTCTTTAGCAGTAACTTATTCTTCCTCAAGAAGTAACACTAGCTATGCACTGATCCTTTCAAAATAAGTGTCTCAAAAAACCTGTCCACTACAGTTTATTTCATTTGACCAGCTGCAGCAGAGGCTGATGGCATGAGGCTGGAAAAGCAGATTATTTGTTTAGGACATGATTCCTACAAGAGGTGAAAGCATGAAGATGTAGAGGGAAACAGGTTTATAATACCAGAGTGGTTTTAAGTTATTTTTGTTTATTTACAAGGTGGTGTTTGATTGTGGGTTTGTTAATTTGTTTTTTCTCCCGGGGAATGGTAGTTCACATTTAGTTTCATAATAGCTGTGCTCGTGTGGTCTGTATCAGGGCGATCGTTAACTTGCAACTGTGCGCTGACTTGTTGGAACTGAGAAAGAATCACATACCTTTGTAAAGTCAATACTAAATCCACCTTGGCAAAATCCCTGTCCATCTGCATCGATGGTGGCTATAAAATAGAATAGATTAAAAAGGGAAAAAAGGAAAAGGGAGAAGAAGAAATAAAATAAGTACTATCAGCAGTAGACCAGATGATTCTGTGGATGCTTTCCAATGCATCTTCCTAAGTAACCTTGCACTCTTGAACTTGAACCTTGGAATTATTTTCCTCTTACACTACTATTTTCTCTTCATCAGCAACTCACAACCAAGTACTGTAACAACTTTAGGAGCTGCCTAACATATATATATAAAAAATATATATATATAAAACATTAACATATGCTCTAGCCTAACAGAACCAAAGTAAACAGGGACTCCATATACCTTTCTATTTAATCTTCAAAAGTTTGGAGGAAAAATATTTGCAATTTTTATTCAGGAAATAAGGTATCTGGAAAATAGGGAATAAGTTTTTCTTTTGGTATGTAACAAAAGTCTGAAAGGTACATAACTGTAAGTTGTTTCAAGTATTGCCTTAAAACAAGAACAAAAAAGTGTATCGGGCCAAAAAAACCCCAAAAACTCTACATACTGAGATTCATCCCTGCAAGAATTGTCGTGGTTGAGTTAATCTTACGATTATACAGCTCCAGAATAGATATGCTGACATCTCTTTATCTAGAGGTATGACTACTTAACTAGCATGATTTAGTTTAATAGGTGCATATTTAACCTTTTTATGTTGAACCACACTAGATTTCACTCCAGCTGTTCACCAATGATTTTCAGCAAATTAAAGAAAAAAAGTCATCTTAGTTTTAACATTCAACTTTTAGATTTAAAAAAAGTGCTATAAGCATCTGAATAATCTACCAACTCAACTACAGGATATGGATGCAAAGCATTTGGAAATAAGACTCAAAATGTTCAACAATTAATATAATTAAAACAATGCATAGCTACATATGTATGCATATGTTGAAATCAGGACCTATGCAATTTTTCTCTTCAGATGTGCGATACATTGTTCTAATGCTGTATTATTCAGATAGCTGTGAAGAATATCAACTAAGGTATTGCAATAATTTCTGTTTAGTACCCTTGCTACAGGGGAACGTTCACATCTCAACAGAGGGAGGAAAGGAGCTCAGTTTGGACACTCGAGTTGTTACTACAGAAGTGGTCCATTTAAAAACTGAAGTCCTCAGTTCCAATGATAGCTGGATCTACAGCAGAGAAAGCTGTAGATCTGCAACCTGAACATCACCTGGAAGAGAATTCCAGTGTCTGGACCTAGCTTAATATTTTTTTCTAATTGCTATGAGGCTGTATGTGAAAAGGGGAAAACACCTTGAAGTGAGGGCAAACCATCCCACTTCAAATGTACGCAAAACACAACATACGAGAAATTCCAAACAGAAAAGCAACAAAAGTACTCTACGCTCACTTGATCTGCAGGGTGCATATTCCACAGATTTTGAACCAGCAAGCAGGTAACAAGTTCCTACAGGCTCCCTCTCCTGTTTTGTTTCAGTTCTCCAGTGGTACAATGGGGCACAGGCCTAAGGAAGAAAACATAGCAGTAAGGACACAAACTCCTCTTCAAAATGCTAGGGGATATAGAATCATATAATGGAAGTAAAATTTTCTACATAACAGTAACCAAAAAGGTTTGGCAGATGTACCATGTGTTATTACAGGAGATTTATACTGTCAGCACTGGGGCAGATGTATTACCAGTTTGTATTATTAGAATTAGCTATGTATAGCAAGAATTTTAGAAACATTTTGTTAAATCAACAGATGTAAAGAGTTCATCAAGAACTTAGAACACATTCTAACTTCAAACTGATTCTACTACTTTCCTAAAAAACAGACAAAAATGCTACCACCTTTGTTTACACAGAGTTAGGAAAACACTAGCCAATAATTTCTGAAAAAGGTAAGTCATGCTGAGAAGTGGGATTCTGTTTCAATTATGAATTATCTGGATCTTTTCACCTTTTTTTTTTTTACTACAATATCCCAGTACTGACGCATCTACCCTCAGCAAGTTTGCAGATGACATTAATTTGGGCGAGGGTGTTGATCTGCCTGAGGGTAGACAGGCTCTACAGAGGGATCCAGACAGGCTGGATCAATGAGCCGAGGCCAACTGTATGAGGTTCAACAAGGCCAAGTGCTGGGTCCTGCACTTGGATCCCAACAACCCCATGCAGTGCTACAGGCTTGGGGAAGAGTGGCTGGAGAGCAGCCTGGAGGAGAAGGACCTGGGGGTGTTGATTAACAATTGGCTGAACATGAGCCAGCAGTGTGCCCAGGTGGCTAAGAAGGCCAACAGCATCCTGGCCTGCATCAGGAATAGTGTGGCCAGCAGGAGCAGGGAAGTGATCCTTCCCCTGTACTCAGCACTAGGGAGGCCACACCTCAAATACTGTGTTCAGTTTTGGGCCCCTCACTACAAGAGGGACATTGAGGTGCTGGAGAGTGTCCAGAGAAGGGCAATGGAGCTGGTGAAGGGTTTAGAGCACAAGACTTATGGAGGAGTGGCTGAGGGAGCTGAGGTTGTTTACTTTGGAGAAGAAGAGACTGAGGGGAGACTTCCTCATCCTCTACAACTACCTGAAAAGAGGTTGTAGCAAGGTAGGTGACGGTCTCTTCGCCCTAGTAGCTAGTGATAACACATGGGGTAATGGTCTGAAATTGTACCACGGGAGGTTTAGATTGGATATTAGGAGCAATTTCTTAACTGTAAGGGCTGTCACGCACTGGAACAGGCTGCACAGGGAGGTGGTTGAGTCACCATCCTTGGAGGTGTTTAAAAGATAAGATTACGTGCTTAGGAATATGGTGTAGTGGTGGATTTAGGGCTGGTTCGATGGTTGGACTTGATGATCTTAAAGGTCTTTTCCAACCAAAACCATTCTATTATTTATTCTGTGATTTGAAGTGCATCAAAAACCTACCAGAATTTTATCATTTTTGGATCTCACAGAGGCTCCAAACCACTGGTGAGACTTAAATTCCAGTGGATCATCAGGAGCAAAATCTCTGTTGCCTACAAAGAAAAAGGAAAAATAAGCAAAATTTCACAGGGAACTGTACAATAAGAACAACAACAACAACAAAGAAGTCATTGGTTTTGACACATACAGAGAAAAGCAGAAAACAGACTGGAGAATATCACCTTTTCATGGAAATAAGCTTTTAAAAAGATTTATTACTCATTTTTCCATCTAGGGCCAAATGCAGCTATTTTTATATACAAAGTACATAAAAATAAAGTACCAGTACAATACTGATTTGTTGTAAAAGCACGAGGTTTATAACATTCTTCACAGAGACACAGTAAATACCTTATTACTTGAGATATTTGACTTTGAAGGTGGATTACAGCACTTCTGAAGTATCAGTTCCAAAGCCAAGTTCGGAGTAATGCTTCCAGAACAAATACTGCCCTGATTAAATTACCTGAGTTTTGCTTTTGGCTAGAATCGGGACAGAAATTCTTCTTCTGTTCTACCAAGCGTTAACATCTCTATTCTGAATGTCACTGCAGCGTTAGCATGCCAACTAGCATGCTTACAAGCTGTGAGTAAGTGAAAGGGTAGCAAAAATGCTAGAGTATTCCATAGATAAGGGTAAGCTGAATAAGGGATAATTTGCACTGGTGTCTCTACATTAACTGTTTGGTCATTAAGGCTGGTAGAAGCAACTTAATGAGTGGTATTTCTGGAAGCATGAATGTTAAAAAGTCTTTAAATCATTTAAAGTTTCTTACGTACTTTCATTGGACCAAGAATGAAAACTTTGCCAGCCTAATGGGAAAAGGTATTTAACACTCTGGAAAATGTATCTTTTCAAGAAGTCACCTAAAATCAATGTCTTACAGTGCTACAGCTAAAGGTCAACAGCCATACCTCGCTTCCACAGACTGCAGGGGGGAATACCCAAACCCAGCCCTGCCATGAATCACAGACCTGTGACCGCTTGGATCAAAACTTCCTTGTCTGTCTTAGACCTTGTAAAGGATGTTTTGTCTTGAGTGACTGTGTTACTTCCATCGGGAAAATCCCATGAAAAGGGTAACAGAAGCTATTCTAATCTGTAGAGTCAGCCAAAACAACCAAATACCTGGACTACATTTGCTCTTAAATTAGAACTATGCGGAAATCAATGTCAAGCACACAGATCACAGAAAACTACTGCATTTTTTCTAATTTCATCAAAGGTAATTTAAAAAAAAACCCACACTTCATTCTGTCACTCCCTCTTCCACTCTCTTATTAAACAGGTGCTAAAGACATGAAAGGCCTGATGAGCACATCTGCACAGATTTATGTACACTTGAACATTTATACTGTCACCCTTGAACAGGCAAATAACATAGTTTGGAGATGCGCATGTCACCTTTTCATGGTACAGAAAACCAAAACCACATCAGTAAGTTTTCCAAATAGGGCATTGTCTTTAGCACACTTCTAAAATCCCTGCTCTATCATCTTCTTTCCTCTTCCTTGCCTTTAACTAATGAACATCCAACCAAGGACAGTTTTGCTCAAAGGATGCAGTTGCGTGACTGAGTCTAGAAACAGAGATTTGGTCTCTACCCTCCATTTGTCCAGCTACTCTTGAATACAAAGCTTGAGAATAGTTAAGGCATGGCAATTCACAACTTTATTGCTGGATACTTATGCTATGCTACATATCTATGACTAAACTGATAGGCAGTATAGCAGTTTTAGTGTAAAGCAGAATCCTACTGTGCTAGGTACTACAAAAGGACAAACTTCCCATTTAAATTTAAACAGACAGCCAGTAGAAGGAATAGTCTTGTTGCAATAGCACATAAGCAGCCATTCGGCATTATCAGCGATCTGATTTTATTGCAGGTGTTAAGGAAATTAGTTCCTTCAGTTTTCAGCTGAATGCATCAGCTGAGACAGCAAAGTCTCAAACCAGACAAAACCACAAAACCAACCAAACAAAAAAGCCACTACAAAACACAAAACAAAAAAGCCAAACCTAGAGAGTACTGGTTACTGGTGCCATCTACCCATAGTCTATGTTGATTGAACTGGAGAAGAGGGGAACTAGCAGTTGTAACCTGCACGTGCTGCCAAAACAGCCCCTCTCTGCCTCCTTCTCCCCGTGTGCTCTTGAGCTGCAAGCTCTGCCCCTCCTCAAGGAAACATCAATGTCCAGGACAGCAGCTACAAAAAAATCTCTCTCCCTCAGTCTTTAGGGGACAAAATCATAAGCCACGATTCGGGTCTAAATTGAGGATAATGTTAGAAGCCTCTCCAATTTTATTTTAATAGGGAAACATCTAGCATTGAGATATAGGCAGAAGCTGGCATATAAAAAGCTAAAATCTCCAAATGAGAAAGCAAATGAACACGACCCAACGTTTATTATGATCTAAATGTAGTTTATTATGTTCCACATGTCATTACTTCAGAAATTTGATGCTGGCCTCTGAAGGCCTGAAAAACAAATTAGGAATTGTTATGCTTAAAAATCAATTAAAAAAATCCACTACATAGGAAAATGTGCTCCATTAAGCAACTAGGCTAAATAAATATTATTTATTTATAGTATGCAACTATTTAAAAAATACTTTACAAGCAAAATTGTCTCATGTCAGTGCAGAGGCACATAACGTAAAACATCTGCTTCAAGGTTAGGATGCCATACACTGAGTTTATCCTGTATTCAAAGCTTCATTAGGTTCTCTAAAACTAGGGAGGAGTGCTGGGGAGAGGTGGTTACTGTTCAGCTTGGGACTGGCTGTAACACAGGTAAGTGCATTAAGACACAGCAACTAGATCAAGTAGAAAGTACGTACATTGGAAGCATGAACTTTGCAGATAAATTGCAAATATTAAATACAAGCTAAATCTGATCTAACTTTCCATTAAAGAAGAAAAGTAACTTTATTTATGCACACGCATTCAAAATTCTCCCCAGGAAAACACCGTGTAAATCAATTATGAGCCTTTCCCTCAGGTCCAGAAGAGAAACTAATTTTATGAGGAAATCTGGAAAACACCCCATCATCAAAAAACCCTTTGCTTTAAATGAGAAACCATTTGCTTCCTGCTCCTGACTGGGGAAAACAGAGAAAGAACACCTCAGTGTGAGTCCTCACTGAAACAACACAAAAAGTTCAATAAGATGTTTTAGCTACACCATAAAGTAAATTTGTTATGGGAAGATATAGGACTGTCTTTAGCATTTCAGTGTTTTAGTATAAATAGTCTAACTTTATTATGATTTTATCATGGTATAACTTTTCAGTGGTAGACATGGGAGAAAAAAAAAAAAAGCCTTCCCCCATACCCTTTAAAACAGGACTTACATTAAATGAAGCAAACTGATACAGGTAGGATTAAAAATACAGGTATTTATAAATCTAGACCAACATTTTGATGTAATATAGCCAGCTTTACTACTATAATGGTTCTTGTAGCCAGTACTGGTTTTCTGGTATTTCTAGATTCTGTTAGAGCACCACAAAAATATCTTAGAAATGGTATTAGAAATCTTTAGGCCAGAGATGTACATTTAAAACAGGCATTCAAACAAATATATCTAGGCAATACAAGCTGTTTTCTGACCAGATTGAACTGAGAAAATAGTCAGAGTTTTTACACGACACTGCTGTCAGACTAAAATGCATCCGCTACAGAGACTTCTGCTTGATTGGTCATTAATTCAAGGATTATGTCATTTGACCATAGGGTATTATTTCCTATCTGTAAAGGCAGCTTATGTCATGGTTTTTCCTTTGCTCCTTCTGGTAACAGCAGGCATCGCATCACATGATGATTTTACATAACTCTTTCATTAGGGGAAAAAAGGCTGACATACAAAGTCAACAGCGGTTTGTCTCACAAAATACTCACCAGGTGGGGTGATGGGCTTGTCAAGGAAGGAACATAATTGCTTAAAAAAAACACAACAACAAACAAAGCACAAAACACACGTGCACACAGGTGCACTGTTGCTGCTGGACCAATGGAACACTGTCACTCTACTGTGTTTCACACAATTAAATTTGTAAGTGGAAACTAATGTGGAGGGATGCGGAGTACAAGTAGGCAGAAAAAGGAGGAAAAAAATAGTCTAAGTGAACTTCCAAATAATAATAAGATCAAAAGTTCTTTCAATGCTGAATTTCTTTTGGCTATCAGCTTCCGATAGTTGGTGCCTTCTTTCTCCAATGTAGATGTTACCACTTACAGAAACAATGGTGTGACTACAAAATGATTGCAGCTGAGGAACTGGATCAAGTTGTAACTTGTAGTCAGCCTGTTTGCGTGGTAATGAGAAAACTGAACTAAAACAGTTGCCCCTGATCTTAAGTGTCAGCCTTAACTTAATGAAATAATCATGAGTCAAAAGGCTGTAAACTGATGAAGCCTGATTCAGTTCATACATACTATGAATATCGTCAAATATTCATTCATCATACTATGAATATTTAAGAAATTGTAAAATTTAAATAGTCAACCAATTTACAGAATTTCCATTAAAATAAACCTCTTTGTAACGATGTCAACTCACAGTAAATTATGTTTCCCCCTCTAGGTTAAGGGAAACGTTATTCAGCTAGTCAAAAGAAAGACAAACTTAGAAAATATACAAGAGCACTGTTTTCATAATATGAGAACTTAATGTTGTATAAAGCCAGCTCTCCATCCAAAATCCCAGCGACTTCAACCTTACGTAATGAGGCAAGAGCGAATGAGTACAAGCTTATCCTGACTTGGAACTCCCCAACACTGTGAGGCAGCGTAGCAACCTTGGCTTAGCCACAGTGTTCTGTTCATGACTCAGGGAGATGGGAAGAGAACGCTTCCTGCTACTCTCCTTCCCTCTTCTGAGGTATGAATCCTGCTTCTTGCCCCAGGTGGTGCTGGAACAAAAGCATCTTTTCCCTTTGCCCAATATAAGGGAGACACCTTTTTTTTTTTCCCACCTGGTCATACAGTTGAGATCCATCTACATGCACACAGAGCCATGAGCATTCCTGCAGGAGTCTACCTAATCACA